CTTTTCCTGAAGATAGAAGAGTTTGTTGAATCTGACGTGACATGTTCGTACGAACCCTTTGTACGAACAAAAGTAAGAGAAATTTAGGATAAGAATACAAACATGTTCCTGCATGAGGCCCAATGTTTGTAACTTGTACACAGAACCACAATTTTATTTAAAAAAAATGAAAAATGTATCCCTACTTCTCTATACATTAAAGTTGTTATATTTATAAGGGCTATTTCAATGACAAGCTGCATTAAAACAAAAAAAAATAAGTGCACCTATACTCTTTTCTTGTTAGCATTAGCTTGGTTTTAATCTTTTAGAACAAGGAAAAGAGTTTGGAGTTATATTCCACACTTGTCTGGAGTTTGCAAACACTAAAACTGGATTTCATATTGTTCAAGGCTGCATTAGGAGCCCTGCAGGAACGTCCCTGGCTCTGCTCGAGTGAAAATGCGGCGTACGTACCCGGCTCGCAGCGGCAGCCGTACTGAGTGACCAGGTTCGGATTGTACTCCGAGTTGATGGGGTTGTGATGGGCCAGCTTAATCATCTTTTTGAAAGCGTCGTAGATAAAGATGAAGCTGATGAGTGCGGAGAAGCCTTCCTCTGTGAAACGTGTGAAATACTGCACCAGGAAGCTGGCGTCTGTGGCCACCAGCACCAGACAGAGAAAACCCGACCACAGGCCGATCCACAGCCGAAACTCCAGGTAGTCGAAGCCGTTGTCTCTGAGGGAGGACACATTATGGACAATATAAATGAGTAATTATATTACTGCTTGGTGAGAAATGTTTTTACCTGTGACTGCATGTGTAGGTTTGTCTGTTAGCAAAATATTTCATGAACCAATGAATTTGTTTTCAATGAATTTTAATGAAACCTGCAGACATCTGGTTTTAAAACACATAAAATGGCTAAACTTTAGTCAACTATACAGATATTGACCTAAATCTTGGTGTGGTGGTAGCTCGGACTGATCCTCAGAACAAATCAACGTAGCTGAGTCCAGCGGTGGGCAGCACCAACATACCGTATTTATTCGTGTATAATACGATCTCATGTATAATACGATCTCATGTATAATACGATCTCATGTATAATACGACCCCCACTTTTTTTTGAGCTTAAAAAGCATAAAAAATTTAATCCTCAAACTGCCTCCAATTTTATACCGATTTCAAGATTTTTCAGCCTTTGCAGTCTTTATACATATCAGTAAAATGATCATTGGACTGTTAGTTTTATTTTAACAACATATGTACTAAAAGGTATTTTGACAACAAATATATATCAGCTGTAGCAGCATCATATGAATTCTGGTATTTTACACAAAGTCCACCAGGAGGCGCCAACACAAAAGTCAGAGACTTCACATGAGATCTGGGCCATCTTGTGGGGGAAAAGCAGATTACTTCCTACTCTCGAGCGCCCCCTCTGGTGGGGAAACGTTTTTCAGGGATACAAACTTTTTCAGAACACCGGTAGACGGCAGCCATTACAGACGAACATGTGTTTGTTGTTGTTCGAGGAGCGGCTCGGTCACACACTAATGTCATTAGTTTGTTATCATTACTAAGGTGCAGGAATACTTTTTTACCCCTTTTTTCACATCATGTCTCCTGCCTGGATCTGTTATTATCTCACTCTGAAGCACGGAGGAGTGTCAGAGGTAAGCTTGTTTCAGCTGCTTTTTACGACGCGGTCTCATTTCTGGACTCAATTTTGTGAATGAAGCCGATATTTTGGTTAAAATACGTAAGTAAAAATATTTATCCAAGTATAATACTACCCCCCAACTTTATGGATGATTTTATGGATTTAATTTTACGTCTTATACTTGAATAAATACGGTAAAAATAAGTTCCACTAGCCTTAAAACACTAACTCAAATATTTAGGTCCCCTAACTCTAAAGCACTAACGCACTGAAAATTTTAGCAAAAGCTGATTCTAAAGCACTAAAATAACCCAGTTAACCCATGAACATTGTTCAACAGACAACATGAGGAACGTGCTGTATTTAGGTTCATTTATTGTCACGTAGTGAATAAGTGACACACATATGAACAAAATGTATTTTTCACCCTCAGCTGTTAACATTAATGTTAATAACATTTATGGACCCCAGTTAGAGCTTCTAAATTTAGTCTATAAATTTAGCATGTGCTAATCCACTAATAAATTTTAAAGTTAGCAAAGCCCCTAAAGCACTAATCAGGAAATTAGTTCCCCTGTTGGTGCTTTAGGGGAACTGTGCCCACCACTGGCTGAGTCCAAACATCCATACTCCAAATGTGACATGGCACAGAAGATTATTTTTTAAAGTTTAACCAAAATGACAAGAACTTCATGTCTTAAAATGAACTGATTAAACTCTAATATAAAAGGCAACATTCATTCAATGAACGTTAGGCTTTTAACTTTATTTTAAAACGAAATTGTATGAGAACCTCCTTACTTTGGAGAGCCCTTTCATTCAAAATACAATAAATACAATTAATTAATTAATTAGTTAATTAATTAATTAATTA